ATCAATATTATTATCAATACAATTTGTATAAAATTCACGATTACCTAGAGCCTGAGAGAGAAGACAAAGGCAAAACGCTGATTGCAGAAAAATGAAAACTTAGCATAATATAAGGTTAGTATTGCGCCCCAAATAAAGAATTAATTACTTAAAAGATACTTTCCAAAATTACTTAGATACAATAAAACACGACATTTTTATTCACAACCAAATAAAATGCACACTACTTATAACCGATAAAGCACACAGAAGGTCTCAACACTACGATACAGAAAAAGCAACGAGACATGCTATAATATGGTTACTGCACAGACAAAATAATGAATGGAATAACTCATTCGTCCCCTCGTAAGATTGAGTAATGCAAGTAATTAAACAAAAACGAAACCAAAGAAATATGTTGTTTGCTTTTATTTTATAATAATGTTGATTGTTTTGGATTGAAACGTTTCTACAATGAGTGTATGACCACTGATAAAGTCGCTTATATAAAAGTCGATACAGAATCCTCACAGTTCATTGTGAAATGTTCTACAATTGAGTTGCTTGTGTATTGAGTTATAATTTCACGAAAAAGGTATTGTGGTTTATTGTAGTGTGAATTACGTGTATGGAAAGTGGTTTTATTATCATTTTTGTATTTTCTTCCCCTGCAGTTAAGATAGCGAGTGGATTATCTCAAAATTGCTTGCTAAGATTCGAAAGTGTTTGTGAATGTGGATTCATTTTCTGCTATATTTCTTTTTTATTTCTTCTATAGTATTTTTGATCAATGTATCTGGGTACTTAATCGAGTAGGTACATACTATTGTAAAATCTTGTATTGTAGTGATTAGAAATGTGCGGCAACCAGGTGTGTTTTGCAAAAAGGCCAAAACGACAATGAACACAAACACACCTGTGCAGTAAACAGTAGCACTTATAAATGATAAGATTGATTTATGTATCGTAGAATCAACTTAAAAATTAGCAGTCTTTGTAGATCCCTGTATGCGAGGTACAGCTGGTATATCAGAAGTTGAATAACCGCTATTATTGTTATCTATCTATCTGCTATCACTCTAATTTCCTCTCGTTTTAATAGGACGGTATGTATTTGTGTGTTGTGTGGCTTGTGTGTTTTTGATATAAATTAAATTATAAAATGAAGAAAACTTTATCAAAACAGTACATTTACTTTTTGCATGAAGTTCAAGGATGAAAGACACGAGAGATGAAAGAAAAAATAACTAACAATTTTACAGTACTTATTTAAGAAACTACAATGACATTAAATTTGTTTTCAGATGGAGAAAACAATACTCCTGCTCCTGTCCATAGCGACATCAATCAGCTCAACTCCAGTGATGACAAGACAAAGTCTGCAAAGGCAAAAGACCAGAGAACACTTCTGCGCAAACCTCCTCAATTTCAACAATTTCTACTACTCTTTAGAAGAACAAAAGAATGTGACTGGAATCCCAGCAGACATGAGCATCCATTGGAAGACTGGCAAAATCTACTTCACTCTAATCAGCGACGAAATGAAAATGAGTCTCCAAGTTTTAAACCCAAGTGGTGAATTCGATTTAATCAAAGTAGCTGGACTGGGGCAGTCGACATGTGTCGATAACCTAAATGACATCGTATATTTAGCTACTGATAACGGTGTCTACAAATATAAAGATGATGGCTCTATCGAATTGTTCACAGCTTTGGGCGAAGATGTAATGTATATAGCTGTGACTAGCGACGGAAGTGCAATGTACATAGCTACTTGGCCTCAAAACAGAGTCCATAAGATTACAAATGACGGACAAAAACAAGAAACGTTTACTGCCATACCAAATGGACATGGGCTAACAGTAGATCCAAGAAACAACATGTATTTTGTTGCCACAAAAACTTCTTATATCCTAAAGAATGGCTATACTGTTCCGATTAAAATCAAAGGTTTGCCGAGTGACAAAATGACTGGGGTTTTTGTAAGCCGATCTGATGAAGTCTTCGCTATGGATGAGAACAGCAATTTGTACTCGGTTGATCCAGAAAATTCCAGTGCTAAGCATTTAGGAACTTTCAGTGTTTCTGGGGTGAATTCTTTTGCTATGGACTCGGCTGATAATGTGTTGATTGGAGTCAAAGGTGCTATTTTGAAGTTTAACGCGTACGAGCAGTCTCCTTGCCCAGAGTACGAGAAGTAAAATTATTTGTGCTGTGACTAACTGAAATAATTATTAAGTATTTATTGTTTGTTATTAATAAACTCATTTCATTAACTCTTGATGTTAGTGGAACAGCTGTCTTCTTTGATTTTCTTCTTGTAAGTAATCCGTTTATTCATTTTCTGTGTTTAATCTTGTTTTTTCCATTATGTTTCTCTTACTACATTTTCGTGCCCAAAATGATACAACTTTAGTTTTATCATTTTCTACTTTGATAAGTTACTAATGATTACTTTATATAAACCTTACATAAACATAACGGCATACCTATAAATCTCTAAACTCTATATATACAATATTATACTACTCGTCATTTATATTATGGGTCATTGCCATAAACCGAGCACAATTACCGACTTAGTTTTGTTACTGAGATACTTTCTAGAAATCGGAAATACCCTAATAATAATATTAACCTGACCTACCCATCGAACTCGTGCTCGTGCAGTAGCACCTCTGAGGCTTGCGACCTGTGAACCCACGGGGTAGTCCATTCATGCATAATGTCACGCCTTTTATCCCCGAACGGATAGGCAGAGTGGCACTTAATGGCACTCTACAATGTAACACCCACTTTTCACTATTTATATCATGAGTCCCATGTAATAGGGGATGGGTCAATATATTCCACTCTAGTAAATAAAATACATATAAGAAACCTTAAGCAATAATTAGGCATCACGCCTATCATTTGGCGTAGGGTTTGCAGTTATTTCATTATTATTTTTTACTCGATTTTATCGTTACTGCGACTCTAGTAAACGTGGTCTGCGCAGAAAGGTAAGGACTGGTCGCAGCTCCGGTTCGAAGCAGGAGTGGGAACAGAGTGATTTTTAGTCAGTAAGAGTCTGACACTCCTTGCTTTACCCAAGTCGGGAGAGATCCATATATAATTACGTACATCCTTTTTAAAATAAAAAATCCAATAATATCTAGGCACCAAAATTTCCAATTGACGCACATAGGTCGATCGAGTTTATAGGTGTCTAACAGCAGCTCATTTTAAATAGGTTTTATTAGAGAAATTCTCTCCTTGTTTGACTTGAGAGTGTAAGAAAATGGTTGAATAATTTATTTATTATCTTTATACATGTAAGTAAGTCATATTACCTAGAAATGTCTTAAAGTCTATATACCTAAGTTTCAACGCCAGTATAATATTTATAAGTACACTTACTTGTAATGCCTAGTGAGTCGACCCCACAGTCAAACCATTGTAACGGTTTGGTAGGGCTTAAATTATATCATACTTACGTACCTGCGTGATTTAAAGATAAATAAATAATAAATTGTTTTCTTTGACTTTCAGTAGCAGCAAGAAAGGCAAGCGACACAGCCGCAAAAGGAAAAATAAGAAACGCACTACTTCCACTACTCCTGAACCCGCTGAAGAAGAAGAAGAAGAATAAATTATTGTATATTTATTTGTTATATCCCCATTATACCACGTTCTAGTGTTTTTCTTAATGTATACGGACTCTAATTTAACATTTATGTGAAACTTCACTTCATGTAAATAAAATAAAATTTTAAAATATATAGAAATTGGTTTTAATGCCATCTATGAACATTTAGTGACATTAATGGAATCCAGACTATTAGTGCCATCTGTTAAGCATACCGATAACTAAAAGCTGAACTTTTGTATACTAGATGGCAGCACATTGATGGTAATTTTTAATCATTACATGTATAAAATAAACTGTAGTTACGAAATTATATACTAATAATACTCAGCTGTAATCTAAAGATCTATTTCAATTAATTCATTGATAATGATAACACAAATCAATAAGATAAGAAATATTGAAACAAAACGATAAACCTACAGCAGTATCAAAACGTGATAGACTGAACATTGCCATATTAAAATTATGATTCCAGATTAGGGTAGGTTTGAAAATTTATCCTATATATCTATTGAAAATAACAACAGAGTATTTAATTGCCAAATAGCATTTTTCACAACGATTTATTACCTACCTTTATCGTAAAAAACGTTAATTTAACTTCTGTTACCGAACAAACTAACTCATATAATCAAAAGTGTACGAAGGTTTTTTCTATTTACAATGATACCATGAATAATTAAAATGTGTAAATAGTAATCAGAGACTAACCTTAACTTGTTGCTATTCCTTGACTTCCTTAAAACAACACATGCACTCCCGATTCTGCTCATGTATTGCAATTATTTTGATTAAAATTAGAATAATGATTAGTTTTGTAACCGTTTCAAAAAATGATTAACACTTTAAATAATCCAGCCTTGGTCGTGGGTTAAAGTTAATTTTTATTACTTATGGGAAGAAGTATTTTATTCCCCCTCTTCCTCCTTCTCTTCAAAAAGATAGGTGAATAAATGGCTTACTCTTATCAAAAAGGATTGTAATATTAAAAAACTTATACAAATAGTTCATTTAATCATAGTATTAGGGCTGTTATCTTCACATTTTTTTTTATATATCTGTATGGCAGATAATTTATAAAAATATTAGGCACACTATATTTTGTAATTATTTACCGAATATAAAACTTTGAGTGATAATATTAATTTTAAATTCACCAAATTGTATCCCTAAGTTAAATAAAAATAATAACTTAACTTTAATCACTAGTTACTAACTTTTCAGTAATAATATAATACAATAAAAATAAGAGAATTTGACTAAGTAATACATTTAATCAACCGACAATTTTACATGATTTGGAGGAAATATAAACTTATACTTGGCAACACTAAGTTGTCCTCCAAACCAACCTATTTTATTTTCTGTCACTTGGTTCATTCATTTATTTGTCAAATTGTCATACGCGTCGCCGATGTGTCAGTGGGCGATCGTTGTATAGCGTGTTATTTGTGTCGTAAATGTGGTTCGATTATGTGATAATGAGAAGACATGCGCTTTACAACATTATTATTAAGTGATGCATGTGTTTTGAGTTTAGTGTCGTGTTAAAAAACGTTGTTTTCATTTGTATGTCATCGGACTCTTCAATATGGCGGCCCCTCGTCACAAATCACAACAGAAAAATATATCTTCGATATTTTCGAAGTTGCACGGGGCGTTCTCGGACGCGGTATGCCCTACTAAACTTGCGACCGATAAAAGGACATTGGATAAGACTTGGAAATTGATGGATAAAGTTGTAAAATTGTGTCAGCATCACAAGATGAATTTGAAAAACAGTCCGCCGTTTATTCTGGACATTCTGCCGGATACGTACCAGCGTCTGCGTGTTATTTACTCGAAGTACGAGGACAATATGCAGGCGTTGAACAGTAACGAACATTTTAACATATTTATAATTAATTTGATACGGAAATGTAAGCAGGCTATAAAGTTGTTCAAGGAAGGGAAGGAGAAGATGTTTGATGAGAATTCTCACTACCGTCGTAACCTGACGAAGCTTAGTTTGGTGTTTAGCCACATGTTGAGTGAGCTGAAGGCGATGTTTCCGAACGGAACTTTTGCCGGTGATCAGTTCCGCATCACGAAGAGCGATGCCGCGGAGTTCTGGAGGACTAACTTTGGAAACAGGTTAGTTTTGCATTCTCTATTTGAAAAAGGAACACTGTCCATTTAGTACCTTATTTGGATAAATCACATAAAATCGTTGATTAATATAATTCAAGTGGATATCATTCTATCTAAAATACTGGTATCCAACTCGTTTTCAATACTTGAGCTTATATTAGCCAAGAAATCACTAAGACTGGTTTTTGTCTTGTTGGTCCCGTTCCTATTCATCTCATAGAGTGAAACTGGCAGGCATAGATTAATACTCATATAAACAGTCTTTAAAATCCACTACTTGGCTATCGGCATCCTCAACGTAGGAGAATTTGCTATAATTACAATGCTCGGTTCAATTCCCAAGCGATCACCGGTGACCACTCTCCACTAACACCATTATTGACTTTATTTCTGATGTTTAGAGACTACTTTTGCATAAACATATTTAGGGGATGATACATCAACATTTTAAGGTTTACCAATGGCAGTTACTGCCCAGTCTCTATATAATGTGTCATATTTTTATTGGGTTACATATTTGTGTTTCGAAAATGAAGGTTGATTATCATAGACCAATATACTCAAGCAGAGATCTCTTCTCGAGCTTAATTGTAAACGAATGCACATAACAAGATCTCTTGAATGTATTTGCATCCCCTTTTAACTGTACTTAGGTCGTATCTGTATCTTCGCTTGAGTATCGTTGTTATGCTGGCTTTAGAGGTGATGACTAAATAATGTTCTCTATTCTGCCAGTGTTAAATCTTATTAGTTCCTATTATAAACATAATCATGTCAATTAAAAAAACAACTTAAAAACAAAGATAGTAACTATTTATCTAATATCAATTTTACTGAAATGGAAAAGCTATTGTTTTAAAGTTTTTTCCTTGTAATCTCTCTATGTGTGTGTGTGTTCTATTAACATTGTTTATAAAAATTCACACACACATGCGCTCGAACAGGTGTACATGTTTTTTCCTTGTATTATTGTATTTATATTTTGCAATTTTGTGTAATGAGATTACCTAGTTCATTGTACTGTTGCAATGTTTAGTATTTTGTTCGGCAATACACAGTTTTAAGTTTTTATTTTCTAAACAGAATTGATCTATTTGTTTGTATAGTTAGGTACATGTTTTCACATGACTAAAATACTCTGTTACGCATTATAGGGCACAAACTTATTTCCTTTACCTAGTTTTCTCTGAATGTTCCATTTTATTCTAATGTTAATAATAAGAGAATGCCATATGGCATTAACACATTTCTCATGTGCCTAATATTTTGACTTCTTCATTCTAGTCATCTAGTGCTTGCTTACTAAAATTCCAAGTATAAAATTTTGGAAATCTTTTCCATTTTAAACTATACTTTAGCATCTTCAGTGTTATCATTCAATGTTCTTACTATTATTATAGAAAAAACTAATGAAAATAACCTTCTATCTCTCTTCACATCAAGGATAACAGCCATAATAATACTTTTTATTGCAACAATAAGATCTTATTTCCTATAGCAGCTATACATCTTACCACCATTGTCATAGAATCTCCCTGACAATTGATAATTAACTTTGTTCATAAAACGATAGGTTTATAATTCACATGTCGTGCAACACTTCCTTATTGAATGTCACAGCTTTCTCATGGGAAACTAATGGAGATTTTTACTGTATAATCTAGATATTTTTTTAATCTAGTTATTTTATATATGTGAAATGGGAGTCTTAGATGGCGTCTGAGTTAGCACATGAATGGACAATTTGTTTTGTATTTTGTGCAGATAGTAACCATTCTATAGTACCTACATTTCATAATTATGTTTGTAAATATCTGTGAAACTGCTGGAGAGATTTTGATGCAATATCATGTTTTTGGATCCATAATTTTTATATTTTACATACCTATTATTGGGCTATTTGTTAGTAGCCCTGTTGATTGATCTTTGTTAAATGAAAACCAAACAATTTATGAACGAGGCATGGGACAGAAAATCCCACTAGAAATGTTAGAAAATCATATGAAAGAAATCATTACTATTAGATTCAACTTTTATCAAAGTAACAGAGGAAGTTGTTATCTCAAAATTTTCTAAGCCCCCACGTAACTTAGCAGTCAGTTGAAATCAATCATTATAATACCAATCAATCAACGGGTAAAACTGTATTTTATGACGCAAATCATAAGATTACTTATCCATTCATAAAATAAAACCGAAAGGAAATAAGTCATTTTATGAATGGACTCGGTTATCAAAATTTTTTATCAGGTGGATTGACTGAAAAAACCTAAGTAGGTAGGTACCGATTTTATCTATGGTGAAATGTCATGTCGGTACATATTTGAGTGCAGGCAGGTGTGGGTACTTGTCTATGGTGATATTTGGAATGATTTCAATAAGCTTTTGATAACAACTTGTCTATTATTTTAAACCAAAATTATTACCATAGTAGGTCATCGACTTAAAGGTGTTTTCTGTCATAATTCTTTAGATTTTCAACTTTATAGGATTTATGTAAAGTTCAATATCCAATAGGTATGGCATGAAGTCAAAAATACTATGTACCTTACGTTTGGTACCCGGCCTATCTCTTATTATATTAGATTTGTAAGATGACAAATAATGCATGGTACAAAGTAAATTGGTAGCTTTCGAAAGGCTGTTGTTATTTAGTTTTTGGTTCAAATAACTTTAGCTCTGAATTATCGACCTAGTATATTTCAGGGGGTCGCGGAGAACCTAACGGGTAACCGGGGCTCCGGCTCGACGTGCAGGAGAAGGGACGGGGTGGTTTTTAGTCAGTAAGAGTCTGACACTCCCTCCCGCCTCACCCAGGCGGGAGCAGTCATTCGATGATTTTCCCCCCTTAAAAAAAAGTATATTTCAGGGGAACGCGGTTTCACGAATCACTGTTTTAGAACATGAAAATAAAAAAATAAAATATCACACACAACAAGCATTCTTTCCAGTTTTCAGTAATTCAATTTTGAATTGGCAATAACAATCAAATTATTACATCAACGAGTGCAATCAAACTCAAAAGAGGCAGTGTGCAAAAAATACATACAACATACCTACTTATTCTTTTTAATTAATTAATCGTTTCCTTTCGTCGCCTTATCGATAGTAAATTGCAATAAAAATATAATATCGTTCTCAATGGACTGTACTTAATCTTAATTTGATATTAGGCATTATAACGCCGGATGTGTAATATTTTATTTTATCAATAATCTTTGAACAAGTCGATCATTCATTTTCTTACGTAAAATTGTGATTGTAATGTCGATAAAATGTTTCTACCTACTTATATTCCTACCTACTTATAATATCATCGGTTTAAAATAGAATGCCTTGGTGTAGTTAATAACTTTCATATAGATCCTATCTATCTCTACTCTCTGGCTTCCCAACTTCTCATAAATTTTTAATTAAATGGTGAGTATTTCTTTTCGGGTTGACTAGTTCAGGGTTTGAAAAATTCAATTATCTTAACATAATAATATCTCTACATTGTTATTATTTGTATAAAAATCCATTACCTACCTAGAAGTTTTTTTCATCTTCTCTTATGGTATCTTCTGATTTATTACGTTGCGGGATCAAAGACGATATAAAACAAAATCGCTTTCTCTGGCCCTATGTCCTTTTGTATGCTTAAATCTTTGAAACTACGCAACGGATTTTGATGCGATAGAGTGATTCTTAAGGAGGGTTTATATGTATAATACATGCATATTGCACCAGTGCGAAACCGGGGCGGGTCGCTAGTAAAAAATAATTCACAATGTACCTACCAACCTGACCAAAACTATACGTGTAGTTAAACCGCAATATGCTACAGAATTTGCTTAAGTGACGTGTAACCTTCCATTGCAGAGTCCCATTGCAATTGAATGCAATGGAATTGCAGTTACTCAAAAATGTTGCCCAAATAAGTAATTAAACTGCTTCAATGGAAATGCTAACAGGAAACCATTTTGGACCGTGTACTTTACAATTTAGGAGTAGGTATAGAGAGAGCCGGAAAATATTTCGTTTTCCACTTTTTGGTGTCGATTCTAGGTAGTTATTTGATCAGCCCACGTTACAGTACCTGCAGTTGGTTTGTAATTAAATGAATTCATAGAATTGCTAAGTACTTAATTGATTTTTCGTTTGTTTCATTTCTGAAGTAACTGACTATTTTCCTGGAGATTTAAATAGGTTATTCTTGGTGGTAGCTTATAAAAGATAATATTTCGAATTTTTTGTGATGATTAACTGACAATTCGATGTTGAAATCCAATTTATCCCAGATGGTTCCCCCACTTATTACTCCGCTTGCATTGGGCAGAAATCTAATCTTGTGTTCTACTATTTATATGATATGATATTCTATTTATTGGGCCCAAATCCCAACTAATTAAAAGTCGTGTGTTCGATACAGGACAAAGCCAAATTGTATGACATTTTAGAATATAAAACGGAGATTTCATTTGTCATCTTCACATAGTTCTTCAACTTCTTCTATATATTTATGTGTTACAGTAAACTTAGTTACTCATTATTGTGTATTTATGTATTTGGCGAACAAAATACGAGTTGGTCACTAGAATTAAATTCAAGCATGGAAATACCTAGTTCCTCTTCCATAACTTGTGTCCCCACAATAAAAAAAATCATGTTACAATGTTAGTTATAACAGTTTGTATTTCAATTCCCTTCCAACGACAAGTCTAGAAATATTCCCCTAAAACTAGAAATAAGCCAACCAACACAATTTTTGCAGAAACAGCGTTGAACGCAACATTTATACAAAGTGGGTATTTAAGACCCACACAAATCTCCCACTCGTTTTATATTTATAAATAAACTTACGTAAATATTATTTGATACGAAATGTGTCAAAGAAATGTATTGATGTGATTTGTAACGGGGATGAAGATGTACGTAATTTTTCCCTCAATATTCGTTAAATTGTTTTACACTCGGATTCACAGTGAAATGATTGGTATTTACATCTTTCTTTCTACACTCCG